TTTTTTTTTTTTTTTTTTTTTTTGCCAATCAAATTTAGCAGTGGGGGCTTGTAAACCAACTTTAGTGACACTCATGTTCAGAAGTTCTGATAACCCACTACCATTGGACCAGCCATTAACTTGTTTTTAACAAATATTTTAATGCACGTATTTCAACATAATGGATTTCCTTGTAAACCCCCGTGTTTAGTTTGCATCTGCAAATGGCATTTTGAGAAAAAGTCTCAGAGTTTCTCCAGCCAAAGACATGATGACTTTCCCAGGCCTCTTCCTCCTTAAAAAAAGAAAAAATTAAAAATTATATTTATAACCACATTAGTATAAAGACAAATATAATATAATCCGAGCTGGGTTATATTCATTCTATTTTACTCCTGATTTCCAAAGAAGTGAGCATATTTTTGTGGGCCCCTAAAAAGTATCAGGGATCCCTGACACCTTGTGTAACCGTGCCCTGTGGATACGTCTGCCCTGAGTCCGGGACCCCCAAAAGGTTTGGAGCCCTGTGAATTTAGAAACCTCGTGTTTGGTGGCTCACACCTGTCACCCCAGCGCTTCAGGAGCCCCGGAGTTTGAGACCAGCCTGGGCAACACAGCGAGACCCCTTCTGGTGGTGCAAACGCCACTGTATCCCGGAAAGCACCATCCCTCACTCTCTGAGATGCTCTGATTTTAAAATTGTGATGAGTCTTTCCTCTGGGCGCCCATGAGACCGTGGGCTCCCCGAGGGCAGAGGTTTGTGCCTCCTGTTGTCGCCCGCGGCGGCCCTCGGCGCGTGGCAGGTGCGCGCACTTGCGGGAGGGGGCAGATGGGTGCGGGGCGCCGCGGGGACTTTCCCCGCCCGCCGGGGCAGGGCAGGGCTCCGAAACCGTGACCTCACGTCTTCGTCCCGGCCCGGGACGGAAGGGGCGGTGCCGCATGTGGGGCTGGAGCGGCCCGGCGGCGTTGGCGCGCGCTGGTCTCCGCTGGCACCGCCGCCAGGACGTCCCGCCCGGATCCCGGCTCCGGCTCCGGCTCCGGCTCCGGGTAGGTGGCGAAGGGGCGCGCGCGGGCCGGGAGGGGGCCGCTTGGGGAGGAGGGCGTGGGCAGCCAGGGATCCAGGCCACCTGGCCTCGCTTCCGGGACTCCCGGGGTCCTGGCACCGCGTTTTCGGGGGCCCCTTCAACCTCCAGCTCTCCTTGTCTGTGGCCCAGATACTCCCCCACTCCCCGGATTCCTCCCCAGCACCCCAGATTTCCCCCTGACACACTGGGTTCCTTCTGACACCCCAGGTTTCTTCCCAACACCTTGGATCCCTCCTCAACACCCCGGACGCCTCCCAGCACCCCAGATTTTCCCCAGCACCCCATATTCCTAACACCCCGGATTCCTCACCAGCACCCCAGATTTCTCTCTGACACCCTGTGTTCCTCCTGACACCTCAGATTTCTCCCCAACACCCTGAATCCCTCAACACCCCAGATGTCTCCCCCAGAACCCCACATTTCCCCCAAGCACCCCAGATTCCCCCATAACACCCCAGATTTCTCTCCAGCTCCCCAGATTTTCCCCAACACCCCAGATCCCCCTCCTCCTCACTCTGCTCCAGCCACACAGGCTGTTTTCTCCAACAAGCCAGGCAAGGTCCTGCCCCAGGGCCTTTGCACAGGTAGCTCTGTCTTCCTGAAGTTCTCTGCCCCCAGATCTCCGCCTGACTTGCTCCCTCAACTCCTTCGGGTCTCAGCTCAGTGTCACCTCCTCCCCTCTGGCCTCCCTTCACCACCGTCGTCCTCCCTGTCACTGTGTCTGAGGGCCTGGCCTTCCCATCATGGCTCATTCTCTGACCTGACCCTGGGTTATTTTCTCCCTCACTGTTGGTGTCTCTGAGCTGGACTGGCAGCTCCATGAGGGCGGCTTTGCCTGTCTTGAGTAGTCTCCTAGAACAGTAGCACCTAGAACAGTTCTGGGACCTAGGAGGTGCTCAATAAATGCATGTTCAATGCATGAAGACACTGTTCAAGAGCATAGGGGGAGAGTAGGAGAGGAGAGAACGGGCATGTTCCAGATGTGGTTAAAAAATAAAAAAAGAGGAAAATACATTCTGCCAATATTGATCATGACGCTGTTATCATATTGTCACACTGGACTCCTGCACCTTGTGGGGGGCTGCTCTGGATGGCAGACCCACATCCGTCCTAAGTGCCACGCTCATGTGGGTGTTACAAACAGGGAAACTGAGGCTAAGACGGAGACCATACAAGCTGGCAGGTGGCAGAGCTGGGACCCCCACCCGGTAGGTATTTTTTTTTTTAGAGACAGGGTCTCACTCTGTCCCCCAGGCTGTAATGCAGTGGGGTCATCACAGCTCACTGCAGCCTCCAACTCCTGGGCTCAAGCGATCCTCCCACCTTGGCCTCCTGAGTAGCTGGGACTACAGTCGTACGCTACAACTGTGCCCGGCTAATTTTTCTATTTTTTGTAGAGACAGGGGGTCTCACTCTTGCTCAGGCTGGTCTCGAATTCCTGGCCTCAAGCGATCCTCCCGCCTCAGCCTCCCAAAATGCTGGGATTACAGGCGTGGGCCACCGCGCCCGGCCACTGTGGGTGTTTCTGCTCCGCCACGCACTCGCTGTTCGGGGCGCGGTGTGGACCTCGTCCTGGAGGCTGTGGGCGTGGAACCGAGTGAACGCCAGGGCTCCAGAGGGTGGGTGGTTCCCGGGCAGGAGGGCGAGGCAAAGCCTGTACAATCACTGGGTTAGGGTTGAGTTCGGGCTGTCGGGAGGAGAAAAATGAGAAGAAAGATTGTGTGCCTTTAGATATTGGCCAGGAATGCAGGTGGGTGTGGTCCTGCCTGGCGGATTCTGAGTCCGGCTGCCTCTGTCTCCTTTTGCACAAAACTCTCCTGCGTCCTTACTGTGGGGTAGTGTCCAACTCTGGTCCCCGCGGGGAGCAGGCAGCAGCCGTGCATGCTAGTGGCTCGCGGGGCGCCCACTGTGTGCGGGGCACTGCTTTAAGACTCCTGTACGAATGAACTCATTCAACCTCACGACAACGTGAGCTGGTACCACTTCCCGCCATACCCATTTTAAAGATGAGGAGACTGAGGCCTTCAAGTGCACAGCCTGCAAGTGGCAGAGCTGAGATTTGAATCCCAAGGGCATGCTTCTACCTGTTTCTCTCTCTCTTCCTGGAGATGACTCATTCCAGGTGGGCAGTGGGCGGACAGCGGAGCCCGTAGCTCTGAGGCGAGGCAGCCACACTTCTCTCCCGGGCCTCGGGAATGCGGCCCCAGCTTGGCCCAATTGTTGATTTTCCAGGCGAATCCATAACGCCAGAGTTTTGCACAAAATGTCCTTTGTTCGCTGTTGGCAACTAATTCAAAATAATTTGATTCTTAGCTGGCTGCCAGCACAGTTGCCCAGGAGTCTCTGAACTTTTTTTCCTTTTAACATTTTATTAACATAGAACCTGTCAACAAAATTTCTCTCTACAGAAAAGGGCTGAACACCTAAGCGTTGAACTTGGTGAATGTTTTCAGAGTGAACACAGCGTGATGCCCAGCGCTGTTCATGCCCTGTCCCAGGCACTACCCTTCTCCACACTTTATCACTTATGCCTTTGATCAGTTAAAAATTGGAGGGCACATGCCGACACGTGTTTGTTTTTTTCTTTGTAAGTTGTATACACAGCTGTTCCTAGGAACCATCAGGAGGTGGGAGGAACAGTCGATTCGAGGATCATTGCTGTTGAGAAGGGTATTGGACCATATTTCAAGGAGTTGTCTTGATCGTTTCAAAAGGTTTTGGCTGACTTGTGGTCTCACCTGAATATAAGATCGTTTTTGTTTTTATCCCGCTATGTGCTGAGCTCACTTAAGAGATAGAAGCTGGGCACTGTGCCTTTTTCTTATTGCTCGTGTGTATCTACATTATGGAAAATGTCTTTCATCCTCTACTTCTCTATAGGAACATTCAGGACATATGCCTGTTTTGTGAGGGTTAGTTCGATTAAAAGTAGGTAAGGCTGGCCAGGTGCAGTGGCTCACGCCTGTAATCCTAGCACTCCGGGAGGCCAAGGCAGGAGGATTGCTTGAGCTCAGGAGTTCGAGACCAGCCCGAGCAAGAGCGAGACCCCGTCTCTACTATATATAGAAAGAAATAAGCTAAACAACTAAAAATAGAAAAAATTAGCCAGGCACGGTGGCACATGCCTGTAGTCCCAGCTACCAGGGAGGCTGAGGCAGGAGGATCGCTTGAGCCCAGGAGTCTGAGGTTGCTGTGAGCTAGGCTGACGCCACGGCACTCTAACCCAGGCAAGAGAGCGAGACTCTGTCTCCCCAAAAATAAAAAAAATTAATTTCACTCATTTCATTTTTCTTTTGTTAATATGGCTACTAGAAAATGTTTAATTACATAGATGCCTCATATATTTCTGTCGGATGGTGCAGGTTAGACATTTCCACAACATTCCACTAATATTGGGGCTGTTGCCATTTTTGACTCAAGGAAACAGAGGTGCAGAGAGGTTAAGTAAGTTGCCCAGGGTCACACAGCACATAAGAGGTACGCTGGATTGGAACCCAGGCTATCTGGCTCTAGAATCCACTGAGCCTGTGGGCTCCCTTTGACATTTCCAGGTTTAACACAGACTCCAGCCTATGTGGACCTGGTTATGTGACCTGAGAAACGGCCTTACCTAGGTTTTTTTCTTTTTTTTTGAGACAGAGTCTCACTCTCTTGCCTGGGCTAGAGTGCCGTGGCGTCAGCCTAGCTCACAGCAACCTCGGACTCCTGGGCTCAAGCGATCCTCCTGCCTCAGCCTCCCTGGTAGCTGGGACTACAGGCATGCACCACGGTGCCTGGCTAATTTTTTCTATTTTTAGTTGTTTGGCTAATTTCTTTCTATATATAGTAGAGACGGGAGTCTCGCTCTTGCTCGGGCTGGTTTCGAACTCCTGAGCTCAAACAATCCTCCCGCCTTGGCCTCCCGGAGTGCTAGGATTACAGGCGTGAGCTACCGTGCCCGGCTGAAATTAATTTTAATAATACATTTTATTTTACGCAACATGTGGTCAATAGAAAACATGAAGGAGGCATCTTCCATACCTTTCCTTGGTACTAATTCTTCGGAATCTGGTATGTATTTTATTGGATCTCAGTTTGAATGTTAAATTTTCAACAAAGGGAAATGTGGCTCTACCAAAGAAATAAAATTGTGTGGAGTTTTTTCTTTTCTTTTTTTATTTTTCTTTTTTGGGGACAGGGTCTTACTCTGCCGCCCTGGCTAGAGTGCAGTGGCATCATCATATTAAATAGCTCACAGCAACCTCCAACTCCTGGCCTCAAGTGATCCTCCTGCCTCAGCCTCCCAAGTAGCTGGGACTACAGGCGCCACCACGCCTGGCTAATTTTTCTATCTTTTTTTTATAGAGACAAGGTCTTGCTATGTTACCCAGGCTGGTCTTGAACTCTTGGCCTCAAATGATCCTCCCACCTCAGCCTCCCAAAGTGCTGGGATTACAGGCGTGAGCCACCGAGCCCGGCCCTACTTCAGTTTTATTTTTACTTACGTTAGACATATTTAGGGAAAATGCATCTAGTTAACTTGAGAGTGAGTCATCGAAAATATATGCCTAGGTTAAAAACATTCTGAACATTTGGTGGTGTGTGTGTGTTCACGGGTGAATATTATTATTAAACTCTCAAAATCTGGAATGTTTTTAAAAGCCTTATTTATCCAGGAGAATGTATAAAATGTGAGTGCTACATAGGAACTGTGCAGATTGTGTATTTAAATACTTTTGGCAGCAAAAACAAAACCAAAAACAAACAAAAAGAACCTATCTCCAAATAAAGCCACATTCTGAGGTCCTGGAGGTTAGGATTTCAAGATATGATTTGGGGGAGGGACACAGGTCAACCTGTAACAGCCACTTATGTCCCCATACTAATGATAAGGCGCTTGGTCTTATGGTTATAAACACTGGCGCCGAATTCTTGCTCTATCTGTCAATCACTAGCTATGTGAACTCGGTCACATTCGTCCTTCTCTGGAATGGGAAAAAAAAATCACATGCCATTTCGTAACTGTTTCTAAAAAGGACCAGATACTGAACATTATCTTTGTGGGCCACACGGTCTCTGTTGCAACGACTCAGCTTTGCCACTGTAGCGCAAAAGCAGCCATAGACAGTGTGGGAATGAGCGAGCGTGGCTGCGTTCCAATAAAACTTTATTTACAAAGATAGTTGGTGGGCCAGATTTTGTGGTCTCTGTCATAGGAAGTTGTGTACAGTGGGATCGGGACAGGCTTGACCAAAAACCTGAAGGTGGGTAGGGAGTGAGCCATAGGGACACCAGGGGAGTAACTGTGTTCTAGGCAGAGTGAACAGCCAGTGCAAAGGTCCTGGGGCAGGACTGTGCCTGGGGAGTTTGAAGAGCAGTGGTGAGAACAATATGGGATATAGTAGGTCCTCAAGAGGGTGTGTGTGTGTGTGTGTGTGTGTGTGTGTACACATATACATACCCACTATATTGTCATATATAATATATATGATACATATATTTTATATAATAAACACACTCAATAGACTCGGTTCCAAGAGGGATGTCAGTTTCTGTTTTTCTCTGTGTCCTGGTACATCCAATGGTGCCTAGTACCTGGCAGATGCTAAGAGAATTATTTCTTTTTTGGCCGGGCGCAGTGGCTCACACCTGTAATCCTAGCACTCTGGGAGGCTGAGGCGGGTGGATCTGAGCAAGAGCGAGACCCCGTCTCTACTAAAATTAGAAAGAAATTAATCTGACAGCTAAAAATACATAGAAAAAATTAGCCGGGCATGGTGGCGCATGCCTGTAGTCCCAGCTACCCGGGAGGCTGAGGCAGAAGGATCGTTTGAGCCCAGGAGTTTGAGGTTGCTGTGAGCTAGGCTGACGCCACGGCACTCTAGCCCAGGCAAAAAGAGTGAGACTCTGTCTTAAAAAAAAAACAAAAAAACAGAAAATTATTTCTTTTTTTTTGAGACAGGGTCTCGCTCTGTCACCCAGGCTGGAGTGCTGTGGCATCATCATAGCTCACTGCAGCCTTGTCCTCCTGGGCTCAAATGATCCTCCTGCCTCAGCCTCCCAAGTAGCTGAGACTATGAGTGCAGCCACCACACCCGGCTAATTTTTCTATTTTTAGTAGACAGGGTCTCGCTGTTGCTCAGGCTGGTCTTGAACTCCTGACCTCAAGGGATCCTCCCGCCTCGGCCTCCCAGAGTGCTGAGATTACAGGCATGAGCCACCGTGCCCGGCCCAGAAATGACATCTTAAATGGATGAATGAACACTATGTACATATCCTCCCTCTCTATTACACACTTTGCTTATTTATTATGCAGCAAATATGTTTAGAGTGTTCACGCCACAGATCGCGCTTTGGCTTACAAACTTTTCTCTTTAAGCTCACATGGTCTCCTAAACATATTTGAATTGTCCGGGCTTGGTGGCTCACACCTGTAATCCCAGCACTTTGGGAGGCCGAGGCGGGAGGATCGCTGGAGGCCAGGAGTTCAAGACCAGCCTGGGCAACACAGCAAGACCCCATGTCTAAAAAAAATTTTTTTTTAATTAGCCAGGCGTGGTGGCACATGCAAACACCTGCCCCTTATACTCGGTAGTCTTGGCCTCATGCCTGCTTTACATCTCTCTGTGACGTTGACACCAGCTGAGCAACTAGGAACTTTACTGTCATTTAATCAATTGTGTCTTTCCTCTCCTAGGAAGTCAGCTCCACTTTTTTTTCTGTTTCTGCTGGTTTTCTCGCCCCGTCAGCATTTCAACACGTAGGTCGCTTCCATATTTTGAGACAGCTGCTGCCCCTGGCATCCGCCCCCACCCAGCAACCGGCTCTGTCCACCCCGCTCCCACCTGTGCTCCTTGCCACCGGCTTCTGTCCCACCCCTGCCTGCGCTCCGATCTTCCTGGACCAATTGACTTTGGACCCCAGGGCTGCCCTGGGGACCCGCTCACAATGACCTTTGTAAAAAAAATCCTGACTCATTTATACAGTGAGGTCTGTGATTCGTCAGAAAAGGGAGTTCATCCGTGAGTCAGCAACTCTCGGTCTAGACCGGGCTCTCTCAGCTTTCCCGCTAGTGTTATTTGGGGCTGGGTCATTTCCTGGGGCGGGGGCCGTTCTGCGCGTCGTGGGGTGTGGAGCAGCGCCCCTGGTCTCTGCCCACTCATTGCGAGGAGCATGCACCCACTGTGACAACCACGGATGTCTCTGGACATCGCTAAGTGTCCCCTTGGTGGGGGTGACATGGAATTGTACCCGGCTGAGAGCCACTGATCTAGGCCGCCGGGGCGTGAGCACGGGCTGGGACAGGCAGTGGGTCTCAGCGCAGCCAGGCCGAGGGGCAGATGAGGTGTTCGTGGCCCCCTAGAATGGACTGCGTTTTTCCCCAGATCTGAATATGGGGACATGCCCCAGGGCCCTGGTGACTTAAAGGACTGGGATCGGAATACCCGAGTGCCTTTCCTATGTGCCCTTGGGAAAGCCCTTCTCTCCTGGCCTCAGTTTTCTCATCCACAACATGGAGCACCGGCCTCATTCATTCTTCCAACAAGCGCTTGTCAGGGAGCTGCTCTGGGGTTCAGCCGCCCAGCAATGCTCGGCTGTCGCCCTCTGGGGCTCACAGTCGCGTGGGGAGGAAGGTGTTCATAGCACAATAAATGCAGAAGGTTGAACACACAGCACGGTTCACCTAGTGACAGATTCTGGCTGGGGGAAGAGGGTGACACAGAGAGACAGACTGGAATCGGGAACTGGGGTGGTTGTGGAGGTCCCCCCAGGCGGTGCCATTGTGCCTAAGACTTGAACAGTGTCACGAAGGCCACACCAAGAAGAGAAAATAGCTTCCAAATGGCGTGACAGCTGTGTGGGGCGGAGAGCCGGCACCTGGGCATGGTTTCCTCATCGTAGTGATAACATTAGCTGTATCAGTCAGCCACTGCTGCGTGACAAGTTGCCCCGGGACTTCGTGGCTGGAAACAACAGTCATTATCTCGTAGTTTCTGTGGACTGGGGATTTAGGAGCTGCTTTGTAGCTGGGTCATTGTGGCTCGAGGTCTCCCGAGAGGCTGCCGTTAGGGGGGTGGCCAGGGCTGCCTCCTCTGAAGGCTCGACTGGGGCTGGAGGAGCCGCTCCCTAGGTGACTCGTTTGTACGGCTGTAGGCGGGAGGCCTCGGTTCCCTGCCACATGGGCCTCTCCGAGAGCTGCTCACAGCATAGCTTGTCCCTGGCAGAGTGATAAAAAGAGGGAGACCAGGCCGGGCACAGTGGCTCACGCCTGTAATCCCAGCACTTTGGGAGGCTGAGGCAGGAGGATTGCTTGAGGTCGGGAGTTCGAGACCAGCCTGAGGGTAACCACGCGTCCCTCTCCTGTTCCCTGCAGATCTGCCCTGGCAGCCATCTCGGAACCCGGCGCAGTGGATGGGTAGGGGACGTGGGGTGTGCAGAAGGCGGGAGGTGCAGAACATGCCTCCGCCACCCCGAGCTTCTGCCGCTGCCCGAGGCCACGCTCGCCAGTGCTCATGGCCCACGCGGGCCCGTCACTGCCTGGCGTGTTCGACGTTCTAGGCGCCGCAGGCCAGGACAAGCTCTTGCATCTGAAGCACAAACTGAAGACCTTGCGCACGGGCTGCCAGGGGGCCGGCCTCCTACACGCCATGGTGCTCCTGACCCTGGGCCAGGACACAGAGGCCAGGATCTCTCTGGAGGCGCTGAAGGCGGATGCGGTGGCCCGGGTGGTGGCCCGCCAGTGGGCCGGCATGGACAGCGTGGACGGCACTGAGGCCCCCGAGGAGCCTCCTGACGTGTCCTGGGCGGTCGCCCGCCTGTACCATCTGCTGGCGGAGGAAAAGCTGTGTCCGGCCTCGCTGCGGGACGTGGCCTACCAGGCAGCCCTCCGCGACCTCCGCGCCAGGGATGACTGCCGTCTGGGGGAGCTCCAGGTTGAGGCCCAGGACCGGTGTGGGTGGGACGTTGTCGGGGACCCGAGGGGCTTCCAGACCCTCCACTCCGACCTGGGCTGCCTTCCAGCGTCCTCAGCTCCGCCCTCTGGGACCCGCAGCCTTCCTCGCCCCATCGACGACCTGTCGGGCTGGAGCCAAGGGCGCTCGCTGAGATCCGCCAGCCCGGCCTCGCTGGCCAGCGACTTGGAAATCAGCCAGTCGCCCACCATGCCCTTCCTCAGCCTGCACCGCAGCCCCCGAGGGCCCAGCAAGCTCTGTGACGGCCCCCGGGCCAGCCCGGTGCCAGAGCCTGTCCCCAGCGGCTGCCAGGAGCCCGAGGAGATGAGCTGGCCCCCGTCGGGAGAGATTGCCGGCTCCCCGGAGCTTCCCGAGGTGGCCCCAGATCCAGCTCCTCCTGGCCTCCCTGACACCCCTGAAGTTCCGGAAGCCAGCACCCACCACCCGGTGGAGTGCACCGAGGTGTCTGCAGCCCCCGCGTCTCTCTCCTCGCCCATCCCGGAGCCTGTCGGAAACCCCCGCCCTGCCAAAGACCAGACACCGCTCCAGCTTTCGCAAGAAGACACCACGTGCCCGGATATCAAGCCATGCCCAGCTGCTCCCTCGATCCCCGAAACGTCCTGTCCCCAAACGCCACTCCCCCCTCCTCCTCCACCGTCCTCTTGTCCGGCCTACCTGGCCTCCTCGTCCCACCTGGCCTCCTCGTCCCTATGGCCTTCCTCCCCTGAGGTGTCATCGGAGCAGAAGTTCTATAACTTTGTGGTGCTCCACGCCAAGGCGGACGAGCACGTCGCCCTGCGGGTCCGGGAGAAGCTGGAGGCCCTTGGCGTGTCCGACGGGGCCACCTTCTGCGAGGACTTCCAGGTGCCCGGGCGTGGGGAGCTGCGCTGCCTGCAGGACGCCATAGACCACTCGGCCTTCGTCATCCTACTGCTCACCTCCAGCTTTGACTGCCGCCTGAGCCTGTACCAGGTGTGCCAAGCCCTGACGAGCAGCTTCACGCGACACGGGTGGCAGGACTGCGTGGTCCCCTTCCTGCCCCTGGAGAGCTCCCCGGCCCAGCTCCGCTCCGACACGGCCAGCCTGCTCGCCGGCCTGGTGTGGCTCGAGGAGCGCTCCCCCGTCTTCGCCAGGAAGGTAGCCAACACCTTCAAGCCCCAGAAGCTCAGGCGCCGCAAGGACAACTGGAGGAAGGAGCAGGACGCCCGGGCCCTGCGGGAGCGGAGCCAACACCTGGAGGGCGAGCGGGAGCAGGCGGCGGCCCTGAACGCCGCGCACTCCGCCTACCTCCAGAGCTACTTGGCCTGGCAGGCGCAGATGGAGCAGCTCCAGGTGGCTTTCGGGAGCCACATGTCACTCGGGACTGGGATGCCCTTCTGGGCTCCGGGACCCTTTGCGGGGGGCCAGGTGCCCCAGGGAGCCCCGCCCCGCTTCCCCGCCTGGCCAGGTTGCCCGCAGCCACCGCCCCTGCTGCACCCGTGGCCGGCGGGCACCCCGCCAGCGGCCTTCCCCACGGCGTCCCCTGCTCCCGCTCCCAGCGCGGGGCCGCAGCCCCTCATCATCCACCACGCCCAGATGGTGCAGCTGGGGCTGAACAACCACATGTGGAGCCAGCGCGGGGCGCAGGCGCCTGAGGACAAGACGCAGGAGGCCGAGTGACCCGCGTCCGGGTCAGGGGAGCACAGGTGGGCCCGCCGCGGGCTTTGGGCGGGACCTTGGGGACCCCCCACCTCCCCGCGTCTGCCCCGCTCCCGGGGGACAGTGCAAGGCCGGGTCCCCAGCTGCGCTCACGACACTGCCCGGCGCCCTTCATTTCTCAGGAAACAGCAAAATGGGCTCTCAGGACTTCCTGGCCTTCGGGGTGGCCGGAAGGGGACAGTGTTTACATTTTCAGTCCCTCTCTGGGTGGGGGGTCTTGGTGGTGGGGACGTTTGTAGGGTCTTTTAATTATAATAAATATTTATTGAACGCTCCTGCAGCGCCCCTGCTCTCGGGGCGACCTCTGCCTGCATGCCCGTTAAGAAGCACGTGGCGCCGGTCACCCCAAAGGGGGAACCGGAACGAGGAAGAGCGAGCCGGAAGTTGTGCATATTTGCTCCCGTCTCATTGGCCAGGGTGTGGTCACATGACCCAGCGCCTGCTGCAAGGGAAGCTGGGAAATGTAGTCCTTTGGTTGGCCACGTGTCTTGCGGAAAAGTCTTGGTGCTAATAAGAGAGAAGGCAGGGAGAAGAGACATTGGGGGACGTTTAGCAGTTTGGGCTGCCGCCTTTGTCTTTCCTTTTGCTTTGGGGTCTGCCTGGATGCCCCGACCAAGGCTGGGCTCAGATCCCACTGTGTGACCTTGGGCAAGTGTCTTCCCCTCTCTGAGCCTCTGTTTCCTCAACCGAGAAGTGGGTTTGTGGAGGCCGTTGTTTCAAGATCCACAGATCGTGTGCAGTCACATGTAAACACAGGCACATCGTACACCAGGTGCTCAGGCGCAGCGTGTGTTACCTGTGCGTGCCCTGCACCGAGGGGACAGAGCGACAGACCTTTTGAGAACAAGAATAGAGTTAGCATTTGTTGAGCACTTAGCATTTATCGATTCTTCAGGCTTTCAGCACATGAACACATTTTACTCCTCAAAACGACCTCTCAAGGTAGAAGCTTCTATTACATAATGGACCCATTTTAGATGTGGGGAAAACTGAGGCCTGAAGAGGTGAATTTTGGCCCCCGGAGCCACACAGATCAGAAATGCTGAGACCACAGTTGAAGAAGCTGAACTCCCAAGGGAGGGAAGGGAAGAGGGCCCCGGAAGCGCACAATGGAATCCACCGAGGCTGGGAACTGCAGGCCGCCTCCCGCCTGAAGGCTGGTTTGAACCTTGAACCTTGGGCCACGCGGAAGGGCAGGTCTGGTGTGAGTCACCCCGCCAGTCATGCACCACTTGCTATTTTAGCCGCTGACTCAGCCTTTGTCAGAGCTCTGGCCCCGGTGGCGGCCGCGTGCGTGAAGTGAAACCTGGAGGGGCGAGTTCCGAGATCAGATTCCAGGGCGGGGTGGGGCTGTCCGGACAGAGGGGACCATCGAGGCGAGAGCCAGCTGTGAATACTTTCGGACAGTGAACTGGCCACTTGTTCGTTCGACCAACATTTATTGAGCACCTGCTGTGTGCTGCCAGGGTCTGTCCCAGGCACTGGGAAGCAGGAAGGATGAAGACGGAAGTGACAGTGACTTGCTGTCATTTCCCTGGGGGCAGAGGGGAGAAAATAGTAAACCATCATCAAAGAAGGAAGTGAGATAATTTCTGAAAGTGAAGAGACTTCAGAGGGAATAAACAGGTCGAGGTGATCGGGGGTGTCCCAGGAGGGAGAACTTCAGCCAGGGGGCCCGAGGCTGAGACCTGGAGGAAAAGGAGTCGGTTGTGGGAAGAGCTTGGGGCGGGGGTAGGAATGATGTGGGCAGTGGGCACAGCCGTGCAAAGGTCCTGGGGCAGGATGGCATCTGGCGTGTTGGAGGCACAGCGAGGAGGCCTCATGTGGCTGGAGGAGAGGGACAGAGGGTGGGGGCGGGGAGGGCAAGGCAAGTCTGGCAGGACCTGGTAGGCTTCAGGGAGGACTTGGATTTTTTTGCCGAGGAAGGTGGGAGCCATGGAGGGCTGTGGGCAGAGGGATGTGCCCTGACTCAGGTGCTCACAGGCGCCCTCTGGTGGCTGCCGCAGGGAGGACAGACTTTGAGGCAGGGGTGAGGGCAGGAAGGTGGGGGACCCGGTCAGAGGTGACTGTACTACTCCAGGTGGCTGTCCCCATGTCTCCCCAGCAGATCTGCAAAGGACAATCATTTTGAGAGCCCCCAGGACCTGAGGGTCTACTCACTGGGGGGGTATCCAGGCCCTGGGCCGGGAGACTATCATTGTGCCCAATTTACAGATGAAGAAACGAGGTCCAGAGAGGTGAGGTCACTTATCTAAGGTCACACAGCCGAAAAAGTAGCCCGCAGGGGCAGGAGAGAGGGGCTAGAGGTTCTCTACTGGATTCTAGGCTGTACGGAGGCTGTTAACGATTCATTCCATCTGCTTTTATTTTTTATTTTTTCCCTGTTTTAAAATTCTTCGATATATCCTTGTTCATTTTCTTTCTTTTCTTTTCTTTTATTCTATTTTTTTTAATGTGTTCACAGGGACATTTTATTAATTTGTGGTTTCCCCACCACGAGCTGCCCACCCAGAGAGGGCAGGGGACGGAACTGTCTTGGTCACCAAAGTGTTTCCAGAACCCAGCCCACGCTGGGCAGAGCACACAGTATGTGCTCAGTGAATGAAGACTTGATGCACAATTATTGAGCACTTGCTGTGTGCGGACCTCTGTTGGGCGCCGGGGACACAGAGCTGTTCCCTGCCCCAGTGGAGTTAGTGGGGAGGATGTTGGTGCATCCACCCATTTATGCAGCCAGCATTTATTGAGCACCTGCTGCGTGCGGGCTCTGTGCTGGTGGTCACTAAGTGGCCACCTGCATGGTGACCTGTTTTGTTTTCTCAGGGCACACGGTCCGTTGCTGTAGAGAGACATGGTCAGGTAGTTATGGGGTGATCTGGACTTTACTGGGGAAACGGAGGGGGCCTTGGGAGCCCAAAGGGGACCCTGGACTAGCCTGGGGGGATTGAGGGAATCTTCTGGAAGGAGGAAGTAAGCTGAGACCGGCAGCACAAATCAGAAGTAACCCTGGGCTGGGAACAGTGTTCCGGGAGGTGGGCACAGCATGGGCAAAGGCCCAGGGGAAGGACCACCAGCCCCAGGGTTAGGGGCTCAGTCAGCCACGATTCGCGCTGCCGCAGCGCCCCCTGGCGGCTACGGCCCGCCAGCCCCGCTGGGCCGCAGGTTTCCGGGAAGCCGCATGTTCCCTCTGAGCCCAACCGCCTTGGAGAAAAATAGGAAGAAAGAAATTTGAAACATTTCCCCTTCTTTAAAAACTGTGAAATGTGAACAAATAGCAGACGATTTCGTTTTGGAGGTCAGTTTGCCCACAGCCAGACCGGGCCCGGCAGCTGTGTCCCTCTGCTTGGAATGATGTCTTTCTGCGACCGTTGGGTATTTATTTAACGAATGTCCTCCTGTGCTCTGGGCCCAGAGAGGGTAGTGTTTTGCCCATTGTCACACAGCACATGTGTGGCTGGACACTTGACCTGGGCAGAACTGGGTGGTGCTGTGTTTGAATTGAGAATCTGGAGGGCCACCCGCAGGCACCTAGGATGTGACATGCACAGACAGTGTCACCAGGGGGCGCCACTGGACAGCGGTGCCAGCCTCCCGCTGCCTGGGCTGGGCCGAGGGCTGGTCCCTACTTCCGAGCCTGGAGAGGTGGGGACCCCCCAAAAGTGCCCAGTCCCGGAGGTGGAGCTCAACCCCTGGGGTCATACAGATGCAGGGTCTTCCGAAATCATTGCCTAAGGCAGCTGTTTCCAGGCTGGGACTGGAGCCCAGAGAGGGCAGACACCTCGCCTGAGGCCACACAGCAGGTCCCCCCATGTCCCCCATCCCTGGGGCTTGCCTAGGCTCACAAATGCCATCCCCTAGTGCTCCTGGGCGGGGGATATTTTATTTTTAACCTGTTCAGTGGCTGTAGCCTTATTATAGCCCTGGGACGTGGCCACGGTTTCCAATTTCCAAGGGGAATTAAAAAACCTTTTCTCTTCCCAAGAAAAGGAGCCACCTGAGACCTCTCGGGTGAGCCCGGCCCAATCTCCTCTCTTCCCTGCGGCTCCCCTGGGGTCCCCAAACCTCTCACTGGGCTCCATGCCAGCTCCCACCCCGGAAGTCCCTTTTTCCTCTCTGCGTGGTGCCTGGGCCCCGGCTCCTCCCTCACTTGCTGCCGTGGAGCCTCAGCGGGTCCCCACCCCTCTCTGGAGTCCCCGTTAGTCAAACGGGGCTACGATGCTCTCCGGCACCGTCTGCTGATCTGCAAACTGTGGCTACCTGCGGACCGTCCTCACGATGTGCCCACTGTATTTACTCACCGTAGTTAGTTTTTAGAGATGGGGTCTTGCTATGTTGCCCAGGTGGCCTCAAACTCTTGGCCTCAAGTGATCCTCTGGCCTCGGCCTCCCTAAGTGCTGAGGTTACAGGCGTCAGCCACCGTCCCCAGTTGTTATGATCAATTTCATTAACCTTTGTAAAAAACCAGCTTTCGGTTTCATTGATTTTTTTCCCCAATCATTTGCTCATTTCTATTTCAATGACTTCCTCTCTGTTCTTTCTTCACCTCTGATTATTTTGGGTTTACTTTGCACTTACAGTATTTTTCTAGCTCTTCAGGTGAAACTTTAGGTGAAACTTCTTTGAATGAGCCTCGTGAGCGAGTTCATGTATTCATTCAACAAACGCGTAGTGAGCAAGACTGTGTCAGGCCCTGTTCCAGGTGCCCGGGACCCAGCAGGGGATGAGCTTGTGTAGTTGATGTTCTATGGAAGGGGACAGCACAATGGACCAACAAGGAAGCAAATCTAAAACACAACGTAATGGCCGGGCACCGGGGCTCATGCCTGCAATCCCAGCACTTTGGGAGGCGAAGTGGGAGGATCACTTGAGATCAGGAGTTCAAGACCAGCCTGGGCAACATAGCAAGACCCCTTCTCTATAAAAAATATATAAAAATTAGCTGAGCGTGGTGACATGTGCCTGTAGTCCCAGCTACTTGGGAAGCTGAGGTAGGAGGATCCCTTAAGCCCAGGAGTTGGAGGCTAGAGCGAGCTATGATGATGCCACTGCACTTCAGCCTGGGCGACAGAATGAGACCCTATCTCTAAAACAAAAAAGGGCTAAAGAAATACACAGAGGGGTCATGCTAGAGCATGCCTGGGACTGCACTTTGGATGATCTGGGAAGGCCTCATGGAGGAGGTGACATTTGATCAAGGCCATTGCTTTAATAGACATTAAATAATCAATAAATACAAACGATAAATCAATATTTAGCACCATTAAGACTAATTAATAATTAGTGTCTATTAAACTGACAGACCTTTAGAGGCAGGCTTTACTAAAGGACATTAGGGCAGGGGGCAGGGGCATCTCGCGTGTCCCGCTCAGTGCTGGGGTTCGACGTCTCCTCTGCAACCCACGGAGACACAGCAGCTGGGCCCGCAGGGAACATTCTTCTCTCCCTCTGCCAGGGGCGGTGCCACATCTGGGCCGGGTCTTGCCTAACACATGTTTTGGTCGCCGCGCAGTGGAACCACCCTCTTGTTTTTCCAGTCCTGACCGAGTCTCCCCGCAGGAACCCACACCCCCACCCGCCCTCTCTCCTGGGACACGGCTCTAATGTCCCTGGGCCAGTCGTCTCGCCTTTCCGGCCTGTGATGTGACTCCGAGCTGTGCTATCTTTAACCTTGGGCGGGGACGTCCACGCTGCTCGGATAACGGCCCTGGAATTTCACAGGGGAGGTGGCCCCGGGTCTGGCAAAGCCATCGGGGCCTGCTCATGTCCCCAGCGACTGCCCCAAGTAGTCAGAGGACACGAGTCCCCAGAGGCGAGAGGCATGCATTCACTCACTCACTCGTTCACTCGCACCGTCGACACATATTTACGGGCCCCAGCCCGCGTGCTGAGGACACAGCAGAGACCAGGGCCTCCGCAGGGCTCCCGAGGGGCCGAGAAGTGTTGCCCAAGCAGACAAGCGAGTGAACGGGAGAACTTCAGGCCCCGACTTCCGTTATGCGGAGACAGACGGCAGCACGCAGGGGAGGGCAGCGAGTTGGGGTGGGGGCGGGCTGACTCTGACACCCTCTGGCTTGGGTTTAACCCCTGACCCCGGTTCTCCGGCTGGGTAAGCCTGGGCAAGCCCCTTCCCCTCCCTAGACCTATTTGCTCATCTACAAATGACTCCGGTCATTGGCTGTGTGGCGTTGGGCAGGTCACTTGATCTCTCTGGGCTTTTTCCTTCACTGATAAATTGCAGGTAGTAACTTTATTATTGCAGACCGTTTTTGCTGTCCTCTACAGCATTTATTCCATTTTCCGGCAACCCCCCTATTTCCCTTGGACGACTGACCGTCTGGGATGGTGGGTGCCTCTCCCAATCCCACCCAAGGTGACTCGAGGCAAGCCAATCGGCTCGTCCCACTCCTGGGCTACTGTGATTGGCTGAGGGAAGGACAAGTGACCCAGGCTGGTCCAATCAGAGTGAGCCCCGGGATTTTGGCTGGGAGAAAGATGCTCTTTTCTCCTGCTGGGGTAGATTCTGCCGGCTGCTATCTTGGGGACCCCCCCACCCCCACAGCAGTCTGAGAGCAACTAATCAACCAGGTCATCAGAAACCATTCTGATCTGCTGGATCAACCCTCACCTGAAACCTGCCAGAGCTTGAAGATGGCCTTCCTTAGAAGGAAGGAGGCTAAAGTCACCACTCTCAAGTTTTAGCTTTTGAAGGAAGCGTTCAGCCCTAATTTTTCCTTGTGGAGCGATGTGCTTGGGCTCAGGGGCAGCGATTCTGACAAGACCCAAAAGGGAGCTGAGGCAGGATAGCCACCTGCCCCAGGGACGGGAGAGCTTGTGCCAGAGCAACACCAAAAAGCAAGCGAACAGGGACTCCGGTGTCCACCTTCTCAGCTGCGCTTCTATCTCGTGCTCCTCCAACCCCTGGGACGGACGGGCAGAACAAGGCGTGGGCCTCACAGCCCTGAGTTCGGATCTCAGCTCTTCCTCCACGTGCTCTGTGTCCTCAGGCAAGTGTCTTAACCTCTCCTAACAGCCTCGGCTGCCCCCACTTGCCAGACAGGGAGAATAACATCTGCCTTAGAGGCTGCTGTACAGACACGGCGGCACACCGAAGCACGGGGAACAGCGCCCCACATACAGTAAGGGCTCAAGAAATGCTCACTGGTGTGACCAGTCTGCTAGGAGACGGCCCTGCGAGCCCCTGCGGGTTCAAATCCACTCCGTCAACACAGCAGGGACACAGTCACACCACAGCCCAACAGGCGCCGCCTGTCAGTCGCCCGTCCCCAAACCAAGCCAGATGGCAGTTGCACGAAACCAGGACGTGGAGAAAGAACCCCCCAAACCCCACGCGCCACCAGAGGTGCGACATCCCCAGACAGGGGCCCTTCCCCGCCGTGACACGAGGTAAAGGCTCCGGGAGACGTTCGCGACTCCGGTGTCACCCCCAAGTCGTTGTCCCTAAGGGGGCTCCATAGAAACCTACCAAACCAGCTAACGGGGTGGCGCTTTTTGACCGGCGTTGAACTGTCCTGGTATGGAGAGAACCAGAATTTTCAAATGTAGAAAGTTGACGCGAGGAGGCAAGAGAAAGGAAGAGGGGCAGGACTTCCCTCCTTAGCCTGAAGCGGCTCTAGGACGCCCACCAAGTTCACGGGACGGCACCTCACTGGCTGTCAGCGCGGCTCGCCGGAAGCCAGGCCCGGCCCGAGCAAAACACAGCAACCGCCACCCGGTCCCTGTCGCGCCTCCTCCAGCCTGCTGTGAGCAGCCTCCTGGTGACCGCAGCCTTCTCCGCCTTGACGGAGGCTCACGCCATCCATTTTTTCCCGTGGCAACCCTACCCCAAACTCCTCTAATTAGACAGGGCGGCCCCACCGCTCGGTTTTCACCCGGGCCAATACCACGGGTTTCCCAGACTCCTGCCTTCCCACCCTGGACGCCCGCTCTACCCACACCAACGACCCGGCAGGCGATGCTCTTCGAATACCTTCTTTTTAATGACTTAAATGCCAGCGCAGACACTCACAATTTCAAGGGTCTCGTTTCCTCGTTCTGTGCTTTGGAAGGGGCAGGAACTGCCTTTCCTGCCTTGGCTAAGTTGAAACCTTGTCTTGCAAATAAATGATTTCCTAACAAACACTGCAAACGATGCCTACTGTCCTTCGAGGGGCAGGACGGCGGGGCGCCCACTGCCGCTGCTCCCGAGGGCCCGTCTGTGGCCACCACGGGAGCGGGACGTGGGGAGAGAGGATGCCACGCTCCGGAACGCCACTCTCCTCCCGAGCTGCTTCCCTTCGGCGACTCGCCGCTCTCCAGACAGATGAAGACCCCGCCTGCCTGCCAGGGCTTGCGTGACCTCGCTCCTGAGCAAACTCCTGCTGGGGCAGATCCTCCAGCCCCGCCCTGAGTGACGGGAAACCGAGGCTGCACACAGCTCAGCCGGCAGGTGGCTGCTGACGCTCGCCGTCCCAGCCAGCGATTTACCGAGTTAGCTCTGGCTGGGCCTTTCTCGGGAAGATTCCCGTCCTCGACGGGGCAGCCGACACGATGGCTCAGGCCACCTGTGCGCGTGCCCACGACGAAAGGAGAGATCGTCAGATCGGCGGGGCTGAGCGGCCTGCAGTCTGAACTTGGAAACTGCGGCAACCCAGACCCAACCCAACCGTGTCACTGCCTGCTGGGTGGCAAACCGCCGTCAGGCTTTGATGTCACTCCTTTGGCAAGAACGGTTCTCTTTCCAACGGAAGATGGGAGGCCTACGAGAGGCAGAAGAGTGAAGTTTTGTAAAAACATACGACCACCCGTGTCTTAGGGACCACGACCATGGGCTTGTCCCTCTCGGCAAATGCCTCATACGGTAAAGCTCGCTCCCTCCCTGTGGCCTTAGCCAACTCAGGCACCACGAAATCCTCACTGCTTCAAGTTAACTTACATAAGAGTCTGACAAATGAATTCTTAAAAAAAAAAAAAGAAAAGAAAAGGCGGTAAAATCTCAGAACTTCTGTGCAACGCCTGTAACCTGCCCACTTATGAAATAAACAGAACACCAAACCAACTGAAAGCTATGCAAGCGGCAGGCTGCCCTGGGCAGAGCCCTGCCCGCACACCCACGACCGCGGGGACGCAGGAGCAGGGCTGGAAGAAATGAGAGGTGGTCTTTGCTTCTTGACTTTCGAACTCTCGACCTTGGGAAACCCCAGTCCCGACACTGTATGTGGCAGCTGGATTCATCTGGCCACGTGAGAGGCGGGGGAAGGCAGACCGGTTCTCAACTTCTTCCTGCGTTTGTGGCACGGAAGGAAGGCAACGGCTTTATTCCCTCGGCCTCTAGGTAAGAAGGCGAAGGCCTCGGAAACCCGGGCAGACAGGATACAGGGAAGGTCTTGGGTCTTCTCCCAATTCGGGACGTGTGGCTGGGCTCCTAGAGAAAGACAGTCCTCCTAGCGCATGATCCTGAGGGCTTCTAGCACCAGCGGCTCACGAACTCCTTCCCCTCTGCCCGCAGGTGAAGGGGACGGGAGGTGGAAGAGCCCTCCTCCGATTCCGGCCTGTTTGGAGACGGCAAGAACGGGCGTCTGCCACGCACCTCCCCGCCTCCTCCCCTCGCAGGCGCAAACGCTCTGGGCAGGTCAGTGCAGTTCAATGAAAGCCTCCAGCTCTTCTGGGATAAAGCCCTTGTAGGGGATCTTGTTCTTGTCCAGGGCCCGGGCTGCAAGGCACTGCAGGGTCACGTAGTTGAAGGGCTGCATGGTGCTCCGGGCCAGCAGCTTCTCGTCCAGCAGCTCGTAGGCCGTTTTCTTGAAGGCATTGGTGGCGTCCATGTGGGCCCCCGCCTCGATCAGGGCGTTCATGATCGCCGGGCAGTTGTTCTGGGCTGCTATGTGCAGCGGAGTGTTGTTGTCAAAGTCCCTGCCGTCCGGGTCAGCCCCGCAGTCGAGCAGCACTTGGACCACGTGGAGCGAGGGGAATCTGCCCACCGGGTAGCGGCCCACGTTCGTGGTCTCCTTGTCCACAGCCATGTGCAAAGGGGTGAAGCCGTTCTTGCCCCGGGGAGCACACTTGAGCAGGCGGTACACGGTCTGGTGCTTCATGTGCTCCTGGCCGGGGCTGCACTCCACTTTCTCCAACAGGTAGAGCAGGTGCAGGATGATGGCCAGAGCCTTGGTGAACTGGGCTGAGTCCCCGGGTTCCTTGGGCATCTGCAGGGCTCGCTCCACTTCCCGGACCCCTTTGCTGAGCACCCCCATGAGGTCTGCGAAGCCGATCTGTGTGCCCAGGCTGCCCTTGGTGGACCGGTCCTGCAGCACATAAGAGAAGAGTTCGGCAAAGGAGAGGAAACTGCTGGCGGTCATGGGGCTCAGGGGCTCCAGGTTGTTCTGCTGCATGTCCAGGGCGTACTTCCACAAGCGGATGCAGCGCTCGAAATTGCCGGAGTCGGCGTACACCGCGCCCCGGTACCGGATGTAATAGGAAGTGTCCGGGTGGGAGGGGCCGAGGATGCGCTCCCGGATCAGCAGGGCCTGCATGCGCATCTCATCCGGGTCGGTTATCAGCGCTTCCAATTCCTCGGTGGTGTTCACCTCCCTGGAGTAGTCATAGGCCAGGACCAGCTGCTGGGGCTCGGGCTTGGGCAGGTACTCGCCCCCCTGGTGGCGCAGCTCCATGGCCCGTCTCCAGTGTTTAAGGGCCCCCAGCAGATCTCGCTTCTTATCCACATACGTGGCTCCCAGCAATTCCAAGGCTTCCACGGCAGCTTCTCGGCTGGTGGGGCAGCAGCTTTCGTAAGATTCACCGTTTGCTGGTTCCTCCGGGGAGGAGCTGCAGCACTGAGCCCCCTGGGGCTGCACACACCCCTGGCTGGTGGAGGGACCTTCTCCCCCGGCGGCCTGCTCCTGGCCCGGCTGCTCCTGGATGAGGTACTCCACGATGTTGGTGTGGCCCGTCACGCTGGCCGCCAGCAGCGGGGTCATGCCGTAGCCGTCGCGTTCCATGCGGGCGTTGCAGCCCAGCAGCAGCTGCAGGATCTCCAGGCTGCCGGACTCGGCGCAGTCGTGCAGGGCGGTGTTGCCCTTGGCGCTGCGCCGGTTCACCTGCGCGCCCTGCTCCAGCAGGTAGCGGGCGATCTCGCGGTGGCCCTTGTAGCAGGAAATCATGAGGCAGGTGTGCCCGTGCCGGTTGGCCACCTCCAGGTCGGCCTGGTGCTCGCCCACCAGGTAGCGCACCACCTCGAGGTGGCCGTCGAAGCAGGCGGCGCGCAGGGGCGTGGAGTTGGTGCGCGTCGTGCGGTTCACCGAGGCCCCGCGGCGCAGCAGGCTCCGCACCACGTCCAGGTGGCCGGCGGCGGAGGCGGCCCACAGCGGCGGCGCGCCCTCGATGGTCTCGCCATCGAAGTGCACCGAGCCGCCGGCCTCCACGCTCGCGCCGCACCGGTCCACCAGGTACTCCACCACGTCCAGGTGGCCGTAGCGGGCGGCGATGAGCAGCGGCGTCCCCCCGCCGGCCACCTCGCCGGTCAGCTCGTCCAGCTCCTCCCGGGTCCGGCCGCTGAGCAGCTTCTGGAGCAGCTGCAGCTTGCCGTCGCGGGCCGCATTGTACACGGCGGTGCGGAGGTCCATGGTGCGGGCCTCCGCCAGGCCATGGGCCGGCCGCCGGGAGACGGGGAGAGACGGCGGATCACAGCCCGGCCGGGCGGGCAGCAACCTTCACCGTCTCCCCCACCGCCATCTTAGGGGCTCCTCTGGCGGAACAAAATGGCTGCCGCGACCTGGCGCCGTCGGCGTGTTGGAGCACGCCGGGAAATGGAGTCCTCTGCGGTGGCCCAGTCTATAGAACGAAGAAGCAACTATGAGGGCTTAAGTCTACATTTCCCAGAAGGCCGCGGGCCAACTGCTGCAAACTGTGAGCGCGCTGCATGGTGGGAATTGCCGTTCCAATGGCAGAGGATGACAGCCGAAATTGGCAATCCGAGGACTACAATTCCCATCATGCAACGCCACATGCTATAGCTGTGGGACCCGGGGAAATATGGTGACGTACTTCCCGAGGCTGTCCCTGAGGCACCAGACTGGGAAAACAGGCGCGGGCTTCCCCTAAAAGACTACATTTCCCGAAAAGGCATCGCGAGGGACTCGCAACCAATCAGGAACGAAAATGAAGGCTCAAGTAGGCTCAGCGGTCGTGTGTGATTTGTGCCCGGCCTGGGCGAGCCGCCTACCGGCAGGGGGCGCGCGGGTGAAGCGGAACAGCGGGGCTGGAGCTGGGAAGACAGGTGGCGATAAGGGTCAATATTCATCATTCGTAGCCGGAGCAAGAGAGAGCCCCGTCTCTGCTAAAAATAGAAAAATTAGCCAGGTGTGGTGGCACCTGTAATCCCAGCTACTCCGGAGTCTGAGGCAGGAGGATCGCTTGAGCCCAGGAGTTGGAGGTTGCTGTGAGCTAGGCTGGACACCACTCTAGCCTGGGCAACAGAGTTAGACCCTGTCTCAAAAAAAAAAGCACTCATTCACTTCTTATTCATTCATTCATTCATTCATCATCGTTCATGTCAGGTTTTCCTTCCCTTTTTAAGGCTGAATAATATTCCATTTTATGGATATACTACATTTTCTTCTTTATTTCTTGTATTTTAACATTTTTCTTTATTTTTTTCCTTCAAAAATTCAGCTGCAAATATACTACATTTTCTTTATTCATTCATCCACCTATGGACATTGGAGACGCTTCCACCTTCTGTCTGTTGGGAACGATGGTGCCGTGGACGTGGGTGTCCTGTGTTTTCTTATTTTTTTCTTTTTTTGTTGAGACAGAGTCTCGCTCTGTTGCCCAGGCTAGAGTGCAGTGGCGTCATCATAGCTCACTGCAGCCTCAAACTCCTGGGCTCAAGTGATCCTCCTGCCTCAGCCTCCCGAGTAGCTGGGACTACAGGCGCCACCACACTCAGCTAATTCTTTCTATTTTTAGTAGAGACGGGGTCTCGCTCTTGCTCAGGCTGGTCTTGAACTCCTGACCTCAAACGATCTTCCCACCTCGGCCTCCCAGAGGGCTGGGATTACAGGTGTGAGCCACTGCGCTCAGCCTCCAGATAGGATTTCATGATGTAGTTTTAATGTTTGTAATGAACAGATTCAACCATTTAAAACGTACATACACACAACCCAAAGTAATTTATTTCCTGACACACAAAAAGCATTAGATCGAACTCTTAGAGGATGGAGTTGAAAAGTCAGAATTTCTGCAGTGACATCAGGACTCTTAAAATTTCCAACACAGAATCCTAGACTCAACTATGATTTCGAGGTCACATAGATGTCTATCAACCTAAAAGCTTTGTTATGTGTTAATGTCCCTCCACAGATGGCAACGTTCTACAATGTAATTGTTCTTTCCACAAGGTAATTACAGGATTTATGTAAAAAATTAATTCACTAGACGGATCAAGGTCTGGTACTGGGACAGCAGCTTAAAGTTGCATGTTGAACATCCTTCAAGGCTGCCAGGGCACGCCCGGGACTGGGCAGCAGACCATTTAGGGATATGGGAGGCTCCAGCCAGATGGACTGTAGTCAACCCTTGGGACATTTCCTTGTCCCTCTTGCAATGTTTTGCATAGCAGGGAGGCTAAGTGTTTTTAGTGAAAATACTTTATTCGCCACTTGCCTCTCAACATAGCCAAGGGGTTAATTCTGAAACCCGAATTCCTGGGTTCGACAGGCAAGCCTGCTTCCAAACAGTTGTATGGCTTCCGGGTAGTGGCTCAAGCTCCCTCAACTTAGCTTTCTCATCTGTAAAATGGGAATGAAATGCCGCGTGAGGCTTGAGAGGGAAAATACACTGAAAAGTGCTCTGTAAACTCCAGTGTGCGAGGCGTTGGGGTAGGTAGGGGTCACCTTGTGAAAGGGGATTCCTCCTTTATCCCCTACGGCTACCGTCATCACCACTGCCGTGAGAGATAGCATTAGGGCTGCCGTAACAAAGTGCCACACCGGGTGGCTTAAATAACAGAAATTTAATTTCTCACAGTTATGGAGGCTGGAAGTTCAAGATCAAGGTCTTGGCAGGCTTGGCTTCTCCTAAGGCCTCTCTCCTCGACTTGCAGATGGCTGCCTTGGCAGTGTGTCCTCACATGGCCTCTTCTCTGTGCACACCTGTCCCTGGTGTCCCTTACCTTCTTACAAGGACACTAGTCATACTGGATTAGACCCTACCCTTGTGACCTTATTCTAACTTCATTACCCCCCGAAGGCCCTGTCTCCAAATGCGGGCATATTGGGGGTTAGGACTTTGACATGTGAATTGCACGGGGGGACACAAATTCCATCCATAACAACCATCATTAGCATCGTCATCACCAACATCATTGGTACAGCCATTATCATCATCGTCATCTTCATCACTGATATCACCATCATCAATATCATTGGTATCATCATGTGACATCATCACCCCATCTCCCCTGTCATGATCATACCCACATCGGCCTCCTCATCATCTCCATCACCACCATCACCATCATCATCACCATCACCATCATCACCATCATCATCACCACCATCATCACCATCATCATCACCACCATCATCACCATCATCATCACCACCACCATCATCATCATCACCATCATCATCACCACCATCATCACCATCATCACCATCACCACCATCACCATCATCACCATCACCATCACCACCATCACCATCATCACCATCACCATCACCATCACCATCATCATCACCATCACCATCATCAGCACCATCACCATCATCAGCACCATTATCACTATCACCATCATCATCACCGTCATCATAGTTAACACCACCATCATCATCATCACCATCAGGGAAACGGGCCAATGCTAGAGATCAGCAACGCTTCCCCTCCTAAGTCCCTGGGAGCTTGCTCTATTTTTATCAGTTTCCAACCTAATCTACTATATCATTTACATATTTAGGATGTTTGTGTTTAAAAAAAAAAATCTGTGGAACGAATAAAGAAATAACCCCAGGAAGCATGTTGTAACCACGGCGCCACCCTGCCTAAGATTCTCCCGTGCTGGCATATTCTGGGGTCTCTGCTACTTTCTTTTCTTTCATTCTGATTTTTTCCCCCTGTGGCTTCCAGGGTTGCAACCATGAGGAGAAAAACAGTTGGGGGGGTACAATTTGGTGGCGAATGTGGCCCCACACCAGTCGACTGGCCCCTCCCTGGCCCCTCCGCCATCTGGGTGCCTGTTCTCCCGCTACCTGTCTCCGCGCCAGGCTCCAGGCCTGCAAACATCCTCTCGCCATGCGCCGGCACATCTCCATCTCGGGCCACCCGCCAGGCGCACACAGCGGGGTGTCATCAGCTCCAGCGCTGCCTAAACACTGCTGCCTGTGCGGAGCCAGGCCAGGCCACCTGCGCGGGCCAGGGAGGCTACGGGGACAGTTACAGACGCACCAAACCTCTCGGTGTGGAGGGGGCGGGAGACTTTCATCCTAGGGTGCTTTATATTTTTGTAATGGAAAAATATGTTAAACATTCAGATAAACAGAGAAAATATTAATAGACCCCAAGCTAGCAGTGCCAAGGATGAGGCAGATTCATTTATTTCATAAATATTTACCAAGAGACGACCGTGTGTCCGCAGCTGGGCTATACAATGGAGCAAAATAAACAGAAGAGACCCTTTCACTAGAGAATCTGACATATAAATGGAGAAACTGGCAAAAAAAAAAAAAGAATATATTAGTCTGCTCAGGCTGCCGTAGCAAAATAGCCCAGCCGGGGGCTTAAACACTGAAAGTTACTTTCCCACAGTTCTGGAGACTGAATGACTCAACGTCTGAGAGCAAGATAGGGGTGGGACTGGTTTCTTTTGAGGTGTCTCTTCTTGGCTTACAAACGGCCACCTGCCCAGTGCAGCCCTGGCCAAATTCCTGCCATACAGGAGCCGCGAGATGTAAGAAAATGATCAGTATTTTAAGCGTGAACATTTTGGGGTCATCTGCAACGTTGCAATAGTAACCAGAACAGTGCCACTTGCTAGCTGGTAGCTTTAATGTGTGTGTCTGTAATTACTAACCAAATCGCACAGTTGCCCAAGAGTTTGTTTGTGATGTCTGTTTCCTCTCCAGGGAACTGCCTGTTCATCGGGAAAATATGCCATGGTTTAATTTCTAAGAAACGATCTCAATGTGTCTTCATTTCCCCGAAGGGACTAGATAATGTATACCACTTAGCACGGCCTGAGGTATCGGAATATATCATTGCTTCATTCGTTCATTCGTTCATTTATTTATTTGTCCACATTTTTTCTTTACATGTTTAGGACCTACTATGTTCTGGGCTGTGCTCTAGAGGCTGGAGATTTGGCGGCTAATATTATTAATTGTCGTGGTTCTGAGAGTGGACTCCACCAGACAGGTCTCACTGGGGGTTTCTCGTGTGGCTCAAGACGGAGGGAGGCTGGAGTCGGAGTCATCCTGAAGGACTTCAGCTGGAACTGCTGCCTGGAACACCTCTGTGTGGCTTGAGCTTCCTCCCAGCATGGCGGCTGGGTTCCCGGAGGGAGCATCCTGAGATAGAGCCGAGTGGCAGCTGTGTCACCTGTTGTCACATGGCCTCAGAAGCCACACAGCGTCACTTTGGCAGCATTCTATTTGCTAGAAGAGTCGGTAAGCCTAGCCCGCTTTTAAGGGGGGAGAATCAGATGCCAATCAGACCCCTTTTCAAGGGAAGGGAGTTTGTGGATATGTTTTAAAATCATCACACAGGTGGGAGGAAGAGGCAGGAGCAAAGACCCAGAGGATGAACAAC